AGTCATTTTAAATAAAATAATCTATTAATAATATTAAGAATATCATTTAATATTGTGTTTTTGAAAAATTGGTTAAATTTTTCTGTAACTTTATTTTCTATATTGCCATGTTACTATTATAAATAATTCTAGTCTATCGCATTTTTTCATTATAGCTATTTTATCTGTTGGTGCTTTTGCACATATTTTGAGCTTCTGATGGATTTATATTTACATTAAAAAGAGATTTACAATTTTTTCAAATTGTTTGAAAATCTTTTGAAATATCAGATGCTCCATCAATGATTGCACCTAACAATTCTTAATAAGAGTCAGGTTAAAATTTTTCCAATTATACCAAAAATAATTAAAAGGAATTTTTTTTATTACAATATGAGAGTTTATCAATGATTGTTGAGTCAATCTTTCGCCACATCAAAATGGACTGAAATTCTCATGATCTGATACGGAAGACAGTCTGTATCGATTGTATTAAAACATAGTAAGTATTGCATTTTTCGTTAAGTTATTTTTAATGTGACCAGTACCATATTTGAAATATTTTAGAAAAAAAAATAATGGACTAACTATCTGATCAATGAAATAAGTGTTTATTTAAAAATATTATCTTGGGATAGTTATGTGGTAATTACGTAGAGTATACACGTTATTAAAAATTTTCTGGAATTTTCAAGTCTAAAACTACATTAGCAACACATCCTCTTTTAAAAGTTTGTCGTATAGGTTTTTGTGTGATAATTTTTTTACAAAATATTATTTTAAAATTTGGTAGTTTTGTATACGTATGTATTTCAATAGAAATGTTTGTATTTTATGGCTATTCAATTTTTCTGTTTAATCTTTGTCACAGTTTTAATATGCTTTTTGACACGATTATACTGTCTTTCGAATCAATCGATTTGATGTATCTCCTAATAGGGCTGTGGTGGGTTATGGGGGGATAGAATGCCACACACGAACAACTATATTTAGGTATAGAACAAATATATAATATAGGTAGAAATATGTTCATATATGTATGGAACAATAAAAAAAAATTTATACATATGTAAAAATAATGTTTACAAACACCAGTGTACATACACATACGACATACACACATCTATGTATACATGTCAGTGTCCATGAAGACACGGTTCAAGAAAACAGGTGGTCTTATATATTCATAATTTCTGTGCAATATTTGTGCTGTTTTATTTAAGATCAAGCAGACAGCGAAATGAAAAACGAGGACTGTATGTGTAGTTATGATACGAGTGTTGGCGAACACCATATGCAGTTATATTACTAGTGTTAGCGAACACTCGTATACTGATAGCAAACATAATAGTGTCGTTTACTTAAAAAAAAAAATGTATTTAGATCACAAGCCACTTTAATATCTTTACTGTATGATTTATATAGACTCACATAATTTTTTGGTGCACTAAATAACGGTAAACCACTTGTACAGTATTTTACACAAAACTGTTTGCCCATTTTAACTAATTTACATTAAAATAAATCAATACAAACTTTTATATAATTTCAAAATTGTATTCATTACTTTTACTTTCCTCTTTCAGTGTTAACTGGCTGTAGGTGGTCGTCTGCTTGATCCTTGTCTCTTATTGCGACACGTGGTGCAAGAGAGCCAAAATGAAACAAAACAGCCACAACAATTTATTGTAGCAAACGTGGACAGTAGGACCACCTGTTATCTTACTCTGTACGTGAAGATCAGTATGGTTTCCATTAGAATGTCTAAAAATAGCGGGGGAGGCTATATGAAGGGAAGCAAGTTTGTACAAAAATCGAGATTCATTGCTTAAAAGACTAAATTTAGGTAGCTTTTTTATTATTTAAATTTTTACGTAATTTAAATGTAATACATTTATTCCAATTTAACGATAGCAACATTTTTTATGTCATCAAAGTTAGGACATAAAGTAGATTAAAAATGAAATAAAATATATACGTTTTTAACTATAATGTATGCACATACATATGTACGTACATATACGACACGAATACGTATGTATACATATGGTCCGTAAAAATCAGTAGGGTTTCCGTCACTTTGTCCAATAGGGGTTGGGGGCGATAGATGGCGTGGAGGGGGGGTCGAGAAAAATTGTGGTCTGTAGAGGATGTGTAGGGTTTGTACCAAAATCGTAATGCGTGAAATTGAGTAACAAAACGACGAAATTTTATGATCTTTAGTTGACAATATGTTTAGTTTTCTAATTGGTCTACTTAAGTTTGTATTTTTTTGTTTTTGCCAAATTTTAAGTTGGTTATTAAAAATATAATACTTTGGAATATTAACATATTTTATTGTTTCTAAAAAATCGTCAATTATGTTCAATTAAAACCAAGCTGTAAATTAGGTTTGACATTTCTATATTGTATTTTCAATTTTATTTTTTTCAAAAATAAAGGTTTGTTTGTTTTCTAAATAAATTGTCAAATTAAATACTTTGTAACTTCAACCACAAATTGAAAAATTTTGTAATGTTCAGGCAGCTTACATTGGACTCAAGTATCTACCGTTACCATAATTTTTAATTCTATTACAAATTTTTTGTATATTTTCTGCGACAAGAAGCAAGGAAAAACATTGTCTAACAAATTTATAAAAAGGTATTTATTAAATTTACACTACTTTTGTTCCGGCTTTTAAACTACTTTACAAAAATTTTTTTATTTTTTAACTTAAAAAATGAAGTGTTTAACTAATTCAAAAATTGGGGGGTTGGCAAGCAGAGCGTACAAAAAACGGAGCTCCAGCAATATATGTATAAATATGTTGCGGGGGTTTTTCTTTATGTGGGGTAAGGTATACGCTGAAACCGGGAGCACAATGTGTTTAAAAGAAAGAAATGAAAAACTATTATAATTCAATTTCAAAGTATATTCAAATATTTTGTCTTATAAGTTAATTACAAGATTTCGTTTTGACGCAATGACTAATTTCTCGATATAAAAAAAAAAAAAAAAATTAGAAAAGACAAAATTCAACCTCACTTAATCGTAGAATTAAAATAAACTGAATAATTTGTTTTCTTTCGTTCGCACAACTCACTATTTCTTATCTTAAAATTGTACAACGTTTTGAATAAAATTGTTTTTTAGAGCATTAGCGCTACTTCTCCTGTAACAACGATATAATATTTAAATCACGAGAAAACACCTTTTATTAAACGAGTCTTACACGATATTTATGATTGACGTGGCTCTAGTATATTAATAAGTTATAATTTTAATAAGTTTAAAAACGTACTTCAAACTTCAGTTTTTATTTTGGTTTAATCACCATTGCACGCAAAATAATAATTGTAAATAACAAAAATTTGGATTCGCATGCACGATCTCTCTCGTGAGCAAGTTTTATGAACTGATAGATAATAATTAAATATCGAACTGAAATCCCTTACACTCTACACTCTATTGGACTCAACAATCTCTCAGATATGATATTCAAAAAAAATAAAGAGTTACAATCGTGGGCTCATCGCAGAATCAACGGGATATATCGGCTAGACGACACGGTAGTACGATATATAAAAACAACAAAAGAAAGGAACCTTAAAAAAAAAGAGATAGGCTAGTAAGTCAGCAAAGAAAGATAAGTACGCCAACGAAGCCACCGCAAGGGATTTATCGCTTCTGCGACGAGGAATTATCGCAATGATGATTCACGAACTCTTTTCAATTGCCAATTAGATAGCCCCTTTTACTAACGCACACCGGGAAGAGAAAACAAGCAGAGGCGAGAGACTTGGGACGAAGAAGACCGTATTCCCGGAGAGTACCCAGAGAAGAGAGCCAACGGTTGCTGAACACCCCTCAACCGTCCAACTTGATTAGATCCGGTTCATGAGGAACTCTTCCTCTGAATGTCTCTCCCGTCTCTGCCTTCTAGCCTCTCCTTACTTTTCACTTTCCCTATGGCATGCCGCCGAAACCGATGCCTGTATTCCCGCATTTTCGCGCTTCTTCGCCCCAGATCGTGGCCCTACGCGTCTAGCCCCTGCAATATATTTATAGAAAGTGACTGATGTGGACTTTACGTGATTCTAGAATATATATCAATAAGATGGTAGAATTATGCGGACGTCTGCATAATTCCACTTTTGCCCTCATAATTCCCCTTACATACCTGTGATTATCCGCATAAGTACACTGTAGACACACACACACATGTATATATAAGTATACGTGTAAAAGTATGCATGCGAGATTCCACACAACCTCTTACCCTATGGACACTCACTGACCTCTCACACAATTTTCCTTGACCCCCACAGCCCTCCAAATGTTCGAGTCTATCGTAACTACTCGTTTTAGAAATAATTTGTGCTTAAAACACCTCTCACAATTAAAAGTTTGTCGGTAGCCACTGCAAAAAGTCAATTTGTTTCTAATGATATCAATAGGCAATAGCAAATATTCAACAAATACTGCTCCATTTTCTTAAGTAACATGTAGTATACAGGGGGAGGTGCTCAGGTTGATGAGATGTTATAATATTTTTATTTGGATTCAGTAACAAAGATTATAAAGTAATACAACATCGTACAACAGGAAATTCAGTCGTACCGACGATTGTAGCAGTAAAATATAATTGTCATCACATGACAAAATAGCATAAGGATAGAATTATGAAATATTAGTATTTGGTGCACTTTTTCAGTGATTTTTATTGCTAATGGCACCATAAGAATGTAGTTTTTATCGACAGACACATTGTTTTGAAAAAATTATTGCAAATTTTAAGAAAATGAAAATACTTATTGTTAACGATATACGAATAAATTGTATTGACTAAAAAAAAATTTGGTGTTACCGACTACAGGTTCTACTAATTCTTCTTCCATGTCATCTTGAAGACGTTTCACCATAACAATACCTCCAATTTGTAAATCTTTGACAGAAATGTAGTGACTTTCCTCAACTAGTTGGATAAACTTTAACTGTTGACGTAATACTCTAGCTGGATTCCAAAGAATTTCATAGGTATTTTCTTGATCTTTTTTTTCTTTCTCCTTCTCAGATTTATCAGAACCATTTTCTTTTTTTTTATCTTTAACATCCTTATCCTTATCAATGTTCTCTTTAATTTTTTTATCATCCTTGAGCTCAAAACTTTCTTTAACTTCTGGAGTACTAGGTGGGTCCTACAATTAAAATCACAAAAAGAAAATAACTGCAGAAACAAATTAAAATAAACTTTAAACCAAAAAATTTTACTTATTGACTAAGACATTCTGTGCAGAGTTGTATAATTATTTTTATGCTTTAAAATTATAAGGTATGCCATATTAGTGCTTAGGACTACAGTAGAAAATCAAAGATGAAATCGTCATAGTAACACCGCTGGAACTGTTGCACAGCGATCAGAGTAATCGTGCACTCAGCGGCCTATTGAAAGGTACTTATACCAAATAACTACATAATAAGCTAAGAAACCAACCAGCCATGTATACTGAATTGTCTGAATTTTTGATTGATTGATAAAGTGGCCAGTAAGTACTTGACGTTACCTGATAATCAGAGCTTGTGGTATTTAAGTTTTCAAAGAGTGACAAATAAGCACCCTAGAAAATTTTTGAATAGATTCAATGGATGAACACCAAATGTAGCGCATTCTTCATCGAGTCAACCAGAGAATTAGAAAAAATATATTTTAAAAAAAAGGGATATCAATTTTGGAATAAATCAAAGCGTTATGGCAAAAAATGTGAGGCATGGCCATTGGGTGAGACCTCAAACTTTATGTATAAAAACTTCAGTTACTTATACTGTAAAAATAAATAATAATTTAAGCTAAAAAAAACGTAGATAATCTGAACCCTTATTTCTTGACCCAAAAGCTACGCCATGTCTAGCAGAAGTGTTAAATCATAGTGTTTCTGCTGAATCAGCTGGTGATGATTCCGTTACGCCTTATACATGTACAGTTTAGTCACCACCCAAAAAAACCGTCGCTATGAATTCTGACGAGCCAACTAAAAATTGAGGAACAAAATAGGACTGCTAAAGCGTAGTCGTCTAGCTATCACTCTGTACATACATATACTGATCATTTCAAGTAACAGTAAACGTATGCCTTAAATTAGTTTGTTAATTTTTTGAATATTGTAACTTATGTTATAAGCATTACGCAAGTAATTTAGAATTATAAAAAAAGTTTTCCAACTTTATTCTTCATTAATAATGTGGTTTAAAATGTTTAGTGAGCATAGTAATTAATCTAATTGCTTGTAATGAAGTTATCAGGTTTAACAGCAGAAACCGCTAGGTCAAGTACTCACAAAATGCCTTCTGCAAAATGACTGCAAAATATTCCCCCTCCCCCGCCTCTAATTCTAGCAAAGTGCCAGCAACACTGATAACTTTACTGTTTAAGATGAACGATTCTCATGAAATGAAAAAATAATCTTCAAGGTAAACTTATACATACAGTAATAAAAATGCGTATCAGAAACGCCGTTGATAGCAAACATATCAAAAAGCTATCTTATGGTTAATGGAACACTGCTGTCGTGCTTAACAAAAGAAAGCTTTATAAGTTAGCATTAAAAAAAAGCTTCGTAAGGTTTCTCGGTATTACCCGGAGCAGCATACTGTATGGTGTCCAATCCGCGAACCAGAAACTACCAGTACCGTTACGAGGAAAGGTATCGTTTAAAAAGGTCATGTAAAAGGGGCTAATTGTATTTTGATTTTCGACCTGTCTAGAATCTACCAATACTGCCACGGGTTATGGTATTTGTTCTAGGTTTTACGCACAATTCAATCGATTATTTAATTCCCTTGGGTCCTGGGGAACCAATACTATTGCAAGTAATGGTGTACGCGTTTGTTTAATTATTTTCCGGTATTCCACAGGTACCACTACTGTAGAGAGAAATGGTGCCCGCGATACATTTTATGTCCGCACCGAAAAAAAAAGAAAAAGGAAAAATAAAGTTGAAAAATTCATAAACTTTAAATACTTACTTTTATTTAAAACTAAAAATTATAAACACGGCAAACCAATACGAGTCAAGGAAAGTAACGTCCGAATTAAAATATACCGAGCTCGTGGAAGACCAAGTGATAGCAGAGGTGGACTCTAACCATCTAGTCGACCGTTTGCGGGTGAAAACAAGAATTAACTGCTTTTTCCGGGGCCTCCAGGCGTTTTGATAAAAAGTCGCGAACCTCAGTTACGTGCTGTTTCGATAACGACGCAGGAAAACTTTTCGGAGAAAAATCTTGCAGAATTAACAATAGCCGAAAATTCAATTAGCTAGACTGCTTTAGTTTAGCCACTTAGGAACTGGCACTTCCCACATCCATCTTCTTCTCCTCTTTGCATTGAAAGAAGAGAAGTTTTCAAAAGAGCAGCGAGAATTGTTTAACATTTCAATAAATGCTCTGATGAATAAGCGATCAGTGTGTTACGATAAATCAATTAACACTAATGTTCAAACAGCAGTAACAGTGTCCGTTGCTATATTAACGTATAATTATGATGTTAGTGGTAGTACTTTTAATAAATATAGTAAATATCTCAACAACAGTAATAATAATAATACCCCTATGAAAGGCAAGACAGTACAGACTCTTTCTCGACATCTCTGAGTCAGGAAAAGGGAAAAGGGTTGACTTTCCCGTTTTCCTTTACATTTAAAAAAGTGATGGAATTCAACTAATTACAAATTAGATTACTGCAGCATGTTTATGAGGTTGTTGATGTGATACAAAAGGGTTACTCGCTAAACCATGATGTAAAAATACAAGGTGTGGCGTTCCGAGGTCTCATTTTCGTGCCGTTCTGCGCCTTCCATCACGACACCATATTTGAGGGAGATGTGACTATGACAGCGCCGAAGAGCCTATACAATTAAACGAAGTGGCCAAAGTTGAAACTAAAACATATCCCCCGCATCCACCTCGAAGTGAGACATACATATAGATATAGACATACGTATAAATATACATGGACGTCAATTGATAAACGATTACCTGTTTTGTCAGTTTTTTCTGTGTAAATATTCACGAATTGTACGTTTGGTCACTAAAACAACTGGAATGAGAGTATAAGAAGAAAAAATATATATTGCTTTACGAGTTTCTTGATGTTAATATGCTTTATATTTCAAAAGCTTTTGAAATTTGCAGACAGACATGGCGGCACGATGCAAGCGTTCCTGATAAGTCAATCAAAATGGATGCGCAACGCCACACTTTATATTTGTACATCATGCGCTAAACCATAAGCCTGCGAACATGATTGGTACAAACCACATAATTCTTCGAAATTTTATTTGGTTGCTTCACTAAGTTCACCGTAGTTAATATGTTATATTGTTGCTTGCTAAGAGTGTAGTATGTACGGGTGTTTCGAACTGTATGTGACAATGTTAGCTTTTACCATTATTTTGGCTAATACATACGTATTACCTCTAAGTTATTTCAATGTTTAGCTTCATCTCGTTTAATCCTAATCTGAAGATATATTTGCATTTTATATTACACCTCAGTTCAACTGTTTTCAATTAAAGCTTTGCAACTACGGTTATCTTATTTTTATGGATCATGAAATATTTTGGTTATTTTTCATTTTCGGTCAGCATAGGCCAGCGTGCATATGGCTTCTTTTTTTACAAAACGAACGGATTTTCCTGAATATTCAGGCCGATTCAGCTGAAGATTCTTTGCCAGTTTCTATATTGAAAAATGCGTAATATGTATCCGAGGAATTTTTTATTTATCACTTATTTTTGATTTTGTAAGTTATAACAAATTTGATAAGTGGTTGAAAACTCATTTTAAACGATGTTAAGCTCCGAATTTTTAAGAGCTACACAATTTTTACCAATGGCACTTTTGTAGCTAAGGGGTTGAACTTTAAGAAAAAAATTATCAACAAATTAATATTCTTATCAACAATTTAATTGTTTTAATTGATTTTTAACAATTGCTTCCAAAATGAATCAAGTTTTTTTTATAACCATCGTATTCTGCGTCGAATTTCACGTAAAAATCATGTTTTTAAAATATAGAGACTTTTCAATTGTTATTGTCAAACTATCAATTTATGTAGCGCGTAATGGTAAAAAAACCTGTTTTTTGAGTATAAAATGATATCTGTACCTTGTATCAAAAGAGTTAAACGGAAAAGTTGTACATGATAATGTTATTGATACAATTGTAAGCTTGTACCAGTCTGCCGACTACACTTAATATATACCCAGAAAAAAAAATACGTTTCGATAAAAGTAGACAGCAAATTAGTACCTATTAAAAAGACTAGTATTAAATAATTTAAAAGAATTGTGTGAAATTTTTACTAGTATGTATCCAACTATGAAACGTAGTTTCTTAAAGTTTGCTAGCTTAAGGCCGAAATATTGTGTTTTGGCAGGTGCTTCTGATACTCACTCTATTTGTGTATGTCTTATACATCAAAATGTTAGTTTATCAGTAAGTGGTGATAATTTTAAATCACTTACTTCTGGTTCTGAGCTGCTTTTGATTAATTTTAAGGATTGTTCGGATCGTATGGTCTGCAAAAACAAAATGACTGATTATGATTTATGTAAGAAGTGCCCAGAGGTGACGAATGTTATTAAGCAACTGGAGTAAACTTTTAAAGAAAAGTGTATTGAAATTGTTACCTAAAAACAATGGGTTATGGTTGAAAGAACCTCATTGCAAACCCTAATATCTCCAGTTGATGAATTTTTACAGAAGTTAAGTGAAGAAAAAACAAATATTGTGAAAATTTTAAAGTGAAATAATTTTGTTATGAAACTGTAAAAAAAGTTTTACTTGTACATGAAAATTTTGTTACATCTATAAATAAATATTAAGCAATCATAATGTTTACTTGGTTTTTTATTACACATTCTTATTAATTCAATAAAATATAATTTATTCAGTTATTATGGCTCATCTCTGTTTTAGAAGTAAAAAATTACTCTTAATAAATGAT